CCGCATATCACTTGCAAATAGACCCTTGACTCGCAATTAGTCTATTTTTTGTATGTAGTTTTTGCAATTGCCCTAGTTGCAAGTCAACCATCGACTCACAACTATGGGGGCCCGCATGCCACTTGCAAATAGACCCTTGACTCACAACTGGTCTATTTTTTGTCTGTAGTTTTTGCAATTGCCCTAGTTGCAAGTACACCATCAACTCACAACTGTGGGGGGCCTGCATCCCACTTGCAAATAGATACTCGACTCACAACTGGTCTGTTTTTTTGTAGTTTTGTAATTTCCCTAGTTGCAAGTCCAACATCGACTCACAACTATGGGTGTCTCCTGCCACTTGCAAGTAGACCATCGACTCGCAAATAGGGTTGTTTCTCGATGCCACTTGCAACTCGACCATCGACTTGCAACTCGGCTTTTTCTGTAGCTTGTTTTTGCCCTAGTTGCAAGTCCACCATCAACTCACAAATGTGGGTGCCCACATGCCACTTGCAACTCGATCATCGACTTGCAAATTCTTTTTTTGTAGTTTGTGATTGCCCTAGTTGCAAGTCGACCATCGACTCGCAGTTGGTCTGTTTTTTGTCTGTACTTTTGTAATTGCCCTAATTACATGTCCACCATTGACTCGCAACTGGTATGTTTTTTGTCCGTAGTTTTGTAATTGCCCTAGCTGCAAGTCCACCATTGACTCGCAATTGTGGGGGCCCGCATGCCGCTTCTAAATATACCGTCGACTTGTAACTAGGTCTTTTTGGTTTGATGCCACTTGAAAGTCGACATTCCCCCTGCAACTGGTTCATTTGTTTTTTCATGCCACTTGCAAGTGGACACTCGACCTGCAAGTGGTTTTTTTTATTTTGATGCTCACTTGCATGTGGACACTAAGTTTGCAATGTTTTTTTCGTTGATTCCAGTTCAAGTCAACGGTCAACTTTGCAACTGGGTTTTCTTGTTTCATGCCATTTGCCAGTCGAGGGTCGATTAGAAACTGTGGGATCATTTTTTTCTTTGTTGCCACTTGCAAGTAAAGTGTCATTATTTGCATTTTTGTGTTTTGTGATCTTACGGAGTCCACCGTTTTTCTTTTTGACTTGCAACTATGATTCTTTGTGTTCATGCCTCTTTTTTTGCAAGTCCAATCTTTTTGATTCGATAGTTTATATTTCACAAACACTTTTTTCCGTATCTTTTTGAAGCTAAAATTTTGCAACGAAGCGTCAACTAATAACTCGAGAGCCCCTAGTTGTTAGTCCTTAGTGAACACACAACTATGCTTTTTTTCCTTTTTTAGTCTCTTTTTTTGTTGATTTTGTTGCAGGTGCACTAGTGATTTTTAGTGACCCTTTTTTTAATTCTCAATTTTTAGATTCATATTTTTTTACTAGGAGAGACCCCAAAATGCTTTCTCTAGGTGTTTCTAGACTAAACACAGTGTTCTGTAGTCAACTGCCATTTGTAAACTCTTTTAGGGGGGTTTTCTGTAAGATCTCCACAACAACAACGATTCTCCAATGTATATCCACACAGACACATTTATTTTTGCATTTATTTTGTCTCCCATTTGCACTATTTGAATCAGTGGCGCAGAGGAGGAGGAGGAGGAGCCTCCCGCTCCGCACCTCTGCTCGACGCACGAGGCATCCGATTTGGAGATGGCGGGGCAGCGCTGCACAACTGTCGAGGCATGCGGCATCCACACCGCGGACGGCCTCTGCGCCGCCGACAAGCCACCGTCGTTCGGCCCTGCATGCGAGCTCTGCGTGGCCAACGGGATCTTCGGTGTGGGCGCCGTCCGGCAGCTGACAACAGCCGAGTCGCGCCAAGTCTCCCTCCCCCCTCTCCCCATGTGGAATCTGCTTGATTTTTGCTCGTGCCACTTGCTCAAATTTTTGCTCCGGCCGCGCCTGTGTTGCCATACGTTTCACCCTAGGCAGATTCAGTGGTCTGATTTTCACTAGAGTTGTTGTTGCATAGGGATACCACAGTTGAGCATGCACAGAATAAATTCAAGGCAAATAAGGACTGTCGTCGTAGTTGTTTTCAATGTTTTTGTTTTCAGTGTATATGTTGACAGAGCATGTACCACGTATTCACTTTTCTAATTGCTCAGAGAGCATGCATCATCTTCAGAGAGCACTCATTAGTCAATGTTCAGACAAGAATGCATGATGGACTGAGAGTTTGACCCATCATCTTTAGCAATTTTTCAGAGAGACATACTTCAAGTTTAGAGAGTTTGACTCATCATGTTCAGTAATCGCTCAGATTGTCCCCCCATTTTTTCCCTGCTAGTGTTGAATTGTGTATCATTTATTCAGAGACTTTGACTCATGAGTCAATGTTCAGAGAGGATGCCTTCATTTTTCAGAGAGTTTGAGTCATCAGCCATCTTTTGTCATGGTTGTCACATAGGCAGCAATCATGTTTTTTAGTCATGAAAGAACGAAACCCCCCCTGATGTAGTGTTTGTCAGCACACATGTTGTGCCAGTTTTAGAGAGATGTGCGTCTAGCTGTGATTTTTCTATCAGTGTTCTAGAGAGATGTGCGGGGCTCAAAAAAGCCCAAAACTGACAACCCAAAAACAAACAACGACAAAAAAAACAACTGAAAGCTGACAACCCAAAAAATAAAAACCAAAGAGGCCCGTTCTTGTGTTTTTTCACCAAGAATAAGGATGGTGTAGGCCTTCCAGGAAAACGGGCTGAGACAAGAAAACATGATGTCATGCATACGTCGTGTGAATGAGACCAATTTATGTCTCATTTGAATGAGTTTCAGGCGCTCCCAATTCATTTTATAAAAAAGCTGGGACCATTTGAACATCCGTTATACTAATTTATTTTCGGAAATATTTTCTTCGTCTCAAAATATAAGAACGTTTTTAACACTATACTAATGTCAAAAACATTTTTATGTTATAGGACGGAGGGACGTACATGTATTTTCCACGTCCGGTGCACGTCACATTTCCTCACCCCTCCCCCGTAACAACCCAGCAAGAGGCAGTTCGCTCGTGTGAAGTGAACACACACGTAATAACCACCCCAAGAGCCGTTCCGTTCGCCCGTTTGCCAGCTGGCTCGCCATATAAATACTTCGCGTTCACTTGGATTGACTCCCAGTCTCCGGCCTCACCGGAAAGATCACCACACCAGCCAACTCAAATCCTCCTCTCCTCCCTTCCCTCCCTCCCATTCCGATTCCCCACCGACTCCCCAAACCCCCTCGTAAACCCTACCTCGCCGCGCGACGACGCCAGCGGCGGTGGCGGAGCGCCCACCGCGTCCCCGCCTCCCTCGCCCCGCCGCAGCCGGCAAGGGCAAGGGGAAGATGAAGGGAGACGATCTGGTGAGCAGCGACGACCCCGCCGCTTCTCTCCCTTCTCTTCCTCCGCCTCCTCCCCGCGGGGCGGGGGCGCCGCTCGTCCTCTCTCTTACGGGTGCGGTCGCGTGACTCGCGTCTCGTGCCTGTCGCAGTCGGAGGAGGACCTCGAGCTCAAGGCGCGTCTCGAGGATTGCGTGGAGCGGGCGCAGAGCCGCGACCCCCGCCTCCGGATAGGCGCCATCGACACCCTGAGGTAATGCCTGCTGCCGCTTCTGAACTTCCCCGGGATTCGGCCGCATCGCTGCCAAATTTGGATGGCCAGTTTAGGCGCGAAAACCAGATTCCGTGTGATCCGGGCGCGAAAACCGAATTCGGCTCGGGCGCTGCTGCTCTGTTTCTAGTGCCCCGCACCACTGTCAATTATGATTAGTTTCGGTTCCGGTCTCCTGCTTAGTTCCGGTTCGGATTCAGGCGCGTCGCTGTCAATTTTGGATGGCCATTTTTTAGGCGCGAACACCAGAATCCGCGTGATCCGTTTTCTCGATTCGCATGCAAATGTTTGTTGCGCCGCTGCTTAGTTTGTTGTCTCCTGCTCCCTAATCTCTGGGTTGATTTCTCGATTTACCTACCGGTATGTACTGCAATCTGCAGGCTAGTTTATGGGAAATGTTACGCTCTGCGAAATTCATTGTCATGAAAATTTGCAAGGACGGGAATGCTGTTCCGGTTTTTGGTTGTGCTGGTTTGCTTATTTTGCAAGGGCACCGATTTTGGGCCCAGTTGGAGGCTTGTTACGTCCCTCTGCTCTTAAATTGGGACAGGATACTACGAAATCAAAATTCCTATTGCGTCATGCTTTCGTTGTTGAATTTCCCTATCATGTTATGATGGGATATTTGATTTGGTTTGTTCATTTCGAATGTTGCATCCTACTGCTGCTATTGGACTGTAGCACTGCATTCCTCAAACAGCTAATATGCCATTTTTCTTCTCAGTTCATAGTTAACTGTGATTAATGCTTAACAGGAAAGAGATTCGTGCGGCGACAAGCTCAATGACGTCTGCCCCGAAACAACTCAAATTCCTCCGCGCACACTATGGAACTCTCAAGACTTGCTTTGAGAGAATGCAGGATTCTGAACAGCAGAAGGTATCAATGTATTGTTAATCTCTCAGTTGAGCGGCTCGAGCCAAGCTTAAAAGTACTGCTTGGTGCTCATGATTTTCTGTTCTTATTGTGCAGAAACATATGGCAGACATTCTGTCAGTATTGGCCTTGACAATGTCTGGTGAAGGAGAAAGGGTATGCAAAAATACCAAAGCACTGTTCAAACATTTGTGCATTTCCTTCTGTTAGTATCTTTCTTCTTTACAAATAGCCATCATGTGAAGTTCTGAGCAAGATATATTCTACAGATAGTTTCATTTATTTCTAGGAGTAGTTCATACTGGTTAGAGTTTGCTTCAGCACTCATCAAATAAGGATCTTAAAAGCAGATTAGATGGCATAAGCAAAGAGCAAATATGTGAAGGCCCCAAACAAAAATCTAGAGTAACAGCCTCAGCTATCTCTCTCTGTTATGCTGCAACTAACCTGAACCCACTAAAAAATTTAGCCGTGCATGCTGCTGGGACAAAGGGCAGTGATTAATCTTCATTGTATAACTTAGTAACTTACCTATAGCTCGATCATATCTCATCCTATATTCCCCTATTCGACCATTATCAACATCAACACATGGTCCATCAACTGATTTATTTAACTTCTGGATTGATCGTCCCGTGCCCAATGTTGCTGGCGAGAGAACCAGATCTGTCGCTGCAACCTCAACAGTGTTATGCTTTCACACAAACCAGATAGCTAATAGGCACCTAGTCCTTTTCTTTGCTCGGGTATTTTAACACCAGAACCTACATGTAGGTAGGTTTACTTCAATACAGGTTTTCCCTCATCGTAAAACACCTAACTTCCGTTATAATTCATAAGCTTTTTTGGAAAGTTGAATACTGAAATGAGCATCTAGATTTAATTCACCATTACTGTACAGGGCTGGATTTGCTAAACTTTGCTTCCTTTTCTTGTTTTAGGAAAGCCTGAAGTACTGTATGATGGGCTCTTTAGTTGATGTATGTTCATGGGGTCATGAATACGTGAGGTAATGACATTATCCAGCCTCCCTGGCTGTAATTCTAACCTTACCTTTTTCTTCATGTTACTTGTAACTAGCTCCCTATTAGCATTATTTACTATGCTGTCTTCCTATACACTATTTTCCATCCTTGTAACTACAAATACAACGTGATGTGAATTTATTTTTGATACGCTGTCTCAAATGCAATACTAACTCTTGTTGGTCCAGTTTGAATGTTATTCACTTACCATCCTAGTCACTCTGGCATGTCAAATGCAAGCTATATTGTTTGGAAATTAATGGGTTATAGTATTGCTCTTAAGTTTTTTTTGTTGTTGTTGCGGAAGCTCAAACTGTTCCATATAGTGGGCTCTAATTATGTCAATGTCTTGTTTGACAGAAACTTGGCTTTTGAAATTGGAAAAGAATGGAAGGTTAGATCCTAATCCACTACATCGGTTGTATTGCACAATTTCTTATATGTTCTTCATAGTACCCTGTTCTGTAGTATGATATCCACTTTCTGTCCGGATGGCAATGCCATTTCATGTGTCAGTTCCGTTTTTCCTGAACACGTACATAGTATATAGATATACATAGTTTTCGGCAAAAAATAATGGGCATTCAACTGAATACCCATGAATTGAAGTTGGCCTGCCCCTGGCACTCTTCACACTAGTATGACATCCAATTTCTGTGATTGCTGGTTTGCTATCTCTTAATGCATTCTACTTTGTTAGAAAAGAAGTTCCGTCAACTTTTTCTTTTGTTATCTATGCTATAGTGTATTAGTTGTTCCATGTAGTTGGGCTTAAATATGCAAACTTTATTCTTGGTCTTATAGTTATAATGCTAACCTTTTTCTTGTTTTGCAGTTCAATGGCTCATCAACGCCAATTGAATCAAAAATAAATGTAGTGCTGGAAATTGTCAAGTTTCACATGAAGGTTGATCCCGATTAGATTTTGTGTGTTGCATTTGTTTCATTTTGTTACTTCATCATATAAAAATATTAACTTACGTGGAATATGCTAATCGCTAATTGATAACCAATAGTAATTGTTTAAAAGAAACCTAATGGTGATTAATTCATTGATGGATTGAGAGTTTGATGGGTTTTGTTATTGTAGCATAATGCTGAAACTGAAGCTCTGGATCTTTTGCTGGAGGTTTGGTGAAACATTTCTGTTTGTATTAATGGATCAGTTTTATAATTATTGAGATGCAACTGAAGCATGGTATTTCTCTGTACATAGGTTGGATACCTTGAGATGCTTTCAGACGAAAAAAAGGAAGAATACCTTACGATGCTACTTCATCTTGTTGACTCTACCAACTACAAAAGGGCATGCTTGTATTTGACTAGTTGTTCTAAGTACGTGAATGAATTTATGTATTCTCTAATTTTATCGAGATTAAACTTGTGAACACTTGTTATGTTGGGGTGGAAACTGGCAGATACCTTTCTACACCCGACCATGAAGCCACACTTGGCACTGCCTATGACATGTACATGAAGTTTAGGGATCTTGCAAGTGCTTTGCGGATTGCACTTCTGGTCGACGACCACAAGGTGGGTGAATGAGCTATGCCTGTGATTTTGAGGTCCGAAATTAAATGGCACTAACATCAATCCAATGTCTTCTAGTATTGTGGTCAGAATGTGAAGATAAAGATGGTATTTGAAGAAACTAAAGATTTCTCCCTGAAGCAGCAATTCGCATTTATGATAGCACGCTATGTGAGTCTCATCCATGCTCAGACATGCAACAGAAGCAAAGTTATCTATTTTTGCCATCTTCTGCTGATTTATAATTCTGATAATTGGGATAGTTTGTACCTATAGATTCCATACTACAGATAGTGTAAATTTCTGGGCAGACTCTTTGATTTTTATTTTCCTTTATCAATGAGCTCTTCTTATTGAAGGGTTTAAGCGTGGAGATTGATGATGAGATGGTTGCAGATGAAAATGAGAAGAATGCTTTACAGGAAGTAGTTTGTAACACCAAACTGGGTGAGGGGTACCATATCCTTGCACGGGATATTGGTGTCATGGAGCCAAAATCTCCAGAGGACATATATAAGGTAGTATTTTGTTAGGTTATTTGCCGATTCAGTTTTTTCAGCAGCTTGTTAGTTTGTTTAGGCACCCCAGTTAAAATTTAAAAGACATGCTCATCTGTTAGGTTCATCTGATTGGCGGTCGAGGTGCCAAAAGCTCCAGCCTTGATTCTGCAAGGCCGAATTTGGCCGCAATTTTTGTCAATGCATTTGTCAATGCTGGTTATTGCCAGGTTAGCTCTTATGAACTTCCTCGCCATCTTTAGGGAAAGTACTGATATTAAGACCGTGTTCTTGTTGCAGGACAAACTCATGACTGCACTACCAGATTCTTTGCTATTCAAGAACAACGAACTTTGGAAAGCCAGTGCAGTAGCTAGTCTGGTATAGATATAATTCTCTTTCTATTAAGCACCTTTTAGATTACTAGATGATACGATAAGATGCCAGTACTAACTACTAAATACTAACACATCATTTTCAGGGAATGATACATCTGTGGGATCCTGATTTAGGATTTGCCGAACTTGACAAGTATCTGCACAGCAATGATACTAATGTCGTTGCAGGAACTTTGTTAGGTATAGGGATTGCCTCTTATGGTGTGAAGAAGGAATATGATCATGTACGTGCCACCCTACCCTACTCTATCCATCCTCTTGCTCTTCTAATGCAAGCCTTCTGCTGTAATAACCTCTTATGTTTTTCCAGGCACATGCTCTTATTTCTGAGTATAGCACGGGTGCAACATCAATTACACGAATCGGGGGAATCTTGGGTCTTGGCATTGCTTATGCTGGGTCCCGGAAAGACGAGGTCAAATCAATACATTCCCCTATAGCTGAAATACCCTTATTTTCTTGCATTGATACAGTTTCTGAATTTTCAGCTTAAATCGCATTTCTCAATTACCTTGAGTAACTCCCAAACACCTTTTGAGGAATTAGTGTTCTCTTCCATCTCTTTGGGATTGGTGTTTGTTGGTTCCTGCAATGAAGAGATTGCAGAGTCAATCATATCTGTCTTGAAAAATCACAGTAAAGAGCTCACAGAGCCCATTATTCATCTACTTCCAGTTGCCCTTGGCCTTCTATATCTTGGAAAACAGGTAATTTTGTTGTTCCTCCATAGTAAGATCCGCAGCTTCTTGTACAACTTTTTTTCTTGTTGCGGAGCATAGAATAATTATAAAACATGTATCTATCGTTTCGGTGCCTGCCCTTATACTTGTGGACATCCTTTTATGATATATCTTAAACCCATGCTTTGGCTGGTTTCTCTCCATTGTTGTAAAATAGTTTCATCTGCTGATGTGATTTATATTTAAATATCTTTTGTTTTGTATGTGTGTGCATGTGCACAGGCTTATGCATTTTTCCTATTCATCTCGTTGATCTTAACAACATTGTATCAGGAGATGGTGGATGCTACTGCTGCTAAGGTTTCTGAAACATTGGAAGAACCATTAAAGAAGTACTGTGGCCTGACTCTTACGTCTTTGGCATATGCTGGGACAGGGAATGTGCTTAAGGTAACTTGCCTTCAAAAGATACATGAATTTCAGAGAGGCTGTACAATACCAACAAGTTCAATGCATAGCTAGTTTTTAGGAACCATGCCATTTGGATTTTCAGGTTCAGGAGCTCCTTCGTAGTTGCTCAAATAAACTTGTGAAAGGTGGAAGTGACCAAGGGCCAGCAGTCCTTGGAATTGCTCTTATTGCCATGGCTGAAGGATTAGGAGCTGAAATGGCTGTACGGTCCCTCGAGCACCTTTTACAGTATGGTGATTGTAGTATAAGAAGAGCAGTTCCTCTTGCTCTTGGCATGCTCTGCGTATCCAATCCAAAGGTACTCCTATATTTTTGTATAAGTTTGCTTGTTTTTCTATAACATTAAATGGAAATGAGTCAAACTTTTGTGATATTAAAAGCCCTTTCAAATGTACCATGAAATTAAATGGAAACATTTTTTGGGTTGCACACGTACTGGCAATATATTAATAGCAGTGGAAGCATAATAGGCTAAGAACATGCACGGCTGTTTGTTTTTCATCTGTTGCATCATCCATTTTGGTCCGAATCTGCTTGAAGAACATGCTTTGTTAGACACTTATTTGGTCTTACTTGATTATTGGCGACTACATGCTTTGCTGCTTCTTATTTGATTCTAGCTCATTGAGTGCCTGCAGTTATGGTATACTTGGTGTAAATAGATTGTATCTTCCAGATGTCTAGTTTCATACTGTCTGCATATCATGTAGGCGGTTGTTGTGGACACACTGAGTAGACTGAGCCATGATGCGGACGGTGCAGTGTCGATGGTTAGCAACTTCGTCACAATCTATAGCACATTAATACCTCTTGAAGCTTAAGATTACGTTTGATCAAATCGGTACATGCAGGCTGCAATCATCTCACTGGGCTTGATAGGTGCTGGTACAAACAATGCACGTATAGCCGGATTGCTTCGTAAGCTCTCAAGTCAGCAATATGGCGGTTATCTGTATTGTGTAAGTACAAATATACAGCAAAAATAAATAAATCATGTCCTTGTTTTAAACACTAGTAAGATTTCCTGTGGTTATTTAAGTTTCAGATGATTTGATTTCGTTTGATTTCAGGTGAGGATTGCACAGGGTCTTCTTCACCTTGGGAAGGGCTTGCTGACACTTGACCCATGCCACTCTGACAGGCTACTTCTATCTCCGTGAGTAATGTACCCCATATGGTTTCCCTTTGGTTTTACTGGAAGCACGTTTCAAAAAGCTCTTGTTGTTGTTGTTGTCACTTTTCAGCGTAGCACTAGCTGGGCTTGTAACCGTTCTGCACGCATGCCTTGCCATGCAACCCATCATCGTCGAAAAGTATCCCTACATGCTATACATCCTCGCCCTTGCTATGCAGGTATGTATCTCCTACTAAGGACTCAGTGGTAGAGTTAAAGACGAATCACATGATTTGAGATGTGTGTTTCTCTGCTGGGGACAGCCTAGGATGTTACTGACTGTGGATGAGGATCTCAAGCCCCTCCATGTGCCTGTTCGTGTCGGCCAAGCAGTCGACGTGGTCGGTCAGACGGGAAGTCCCAGGACCATCACTGGCTTCCAGACGTACAACACGCCTGTAGTGCTCGCTGCAGGGGAGCAAGCTGAGCTAGCAACTGAAAAGTAATTACAGTACATTTTCGAAATGAATCTTATGTTCAGTAACTTGATTCTTGCTTGAGCTTATTGCTGTTCCTGCATGTAGATATATTCCGCTGACACCAGTTCTGGAGGGCTTTGTGATCCTGAGGAAGAACCCAGAGCATCATGAAGATTGAGAGATCGGTGCGATGCAAGCGTAAGCGGATCTGCGGATGGAGTGCCATGAAGAGGCTTGGTCAACATCTAACTGTCACACAAGCAAGCGACAATGACTATTGTGAAGAGGCTGCAAATAGTCCTTAACAGAGTACAGGGACAATACAAAAGTATAGAATAGCTCAGGGGTCAATGTACAGAGGGAGATTGGGTCGATGTTTCTTCGAAAAGAGGAGAAGCAACTTTGTCGGAACGGGGAACAGGAACAGTGGGTGACTGATGGCTGCATAGCATAACCTCAATCAAATTTTGTGTTTTCACTCACTAGACTGTTTTTGAGATGCATATAATAGACATACTCAGTTGTCCGATGTTTTCTGCCCTTTTAAGAAGTCAATCATAATGTATCTACAATGCTAAGACATCCGCAAATGATCAACTTTTCGCACCCATCTGTTGCAAAAGCAAACATAATCTATAGATGGATAAACTTGCATTTTGTAAGAAAGCTAGTAGTGCACTGCCGAGAGGTGACTATCTGTCATTCACGACTTCATTGCTGATGGAGGTACTTTCTGTAGATTGATTTACGACTCCACGGGCGATATCATTCAACTTAAGCTCTGGAACCTTGACAGGTGGTGTTTCTGGTCAAGTATTAAAATGTCAGCAAAGCTATGGAAGGAGCAACTCTCAAGGTGAAAAAAAAACTGAAGATTAATGTTAGTTACCTGGTTCAACTGGAATGTATCTAAGCACATCATTCAGAACAAAATAGCCTCCCTTTTGTGGAGCAAGGAAGAACGATTGAGTAAATCTACGCTTCATGGCATCAGGCACAGTAAAAGACCCAGTAACTAAAACGAGCACACGGCCCTCATGGGATGGCTGAGAATCTACATTGTCTATCTGCATCGAACATCCCTTGAGGTATGTAGATACAAAGTGTTCATTGATATCCTGGTTAAGCACACACACACAAAATCGATTAGAACCAATCAGGGGACCATAGCCCTTAACTGAGCAAGCACGTGTTAGACATATACGAGCTAAATGATGGGCGGCGGGAGGCATGGCATTCTAGGACGGAACCTCCGTCTCAAGTGCGGGCGGGCAATGTCGGGGTTATGATCCTGACAACGAGTACTAGGGGTACGAATAAGGGGCAGAGTAGCTACGGCATAGGTGTAACACACGGTGTTTAACGAGTTCAGGTCCGTCACTCGATGGAGATAAAAGCCCTATGTCTCATGCCTTGAGGCTTGCTTTGATTTGATGGATATGGTTACAAGGTTGAACGTGCCCGGCTAGGGGTGCGGCTTATATAGAGTGCGTTGCAGCCCCATGTCTCCCACACTGCTGGGGCAACTAATGCCATTGAATAATGAGGCAATTACTAGTGTAATGAGTCTATACTACAACAGTTACAGGTATTGGCAGCTATAAATCTATTTAGTGGATGACTTAGGATTCCTCGATCGTTGCAGCTCCCACAACGCCTTCTTGCCATGTACGTTCGAGTGGTTGATCGTTCGCCGAGTGACGCGTGGTTGTCCGAGTGTTGTAGAGCCATCCGAGTGATCCTCCTGATGAATGCATCCAAATGATGGCATGGTCCAGGGACCTACCTACGATGGTGATGGGCCTCATGTGGGTCCCAAATGATGGATCCTTGACCCTACCTGTAATAGGTAACCAAATCAGGCAGCCATGACTTCGCGTGGGTGTGTGTGTGGGAGGGGCTTGGTTGCGGGTGGTTGGTGGAGCAGGGCTGTGTCGGAGGGGTGTGAGCGTCGGGTTACATCACTTGCCGTCATTGTCCGTCTCACCCTCGTTGGTGGCTCCAAGTGATTCTTCTTAGCTCATCTTTAGTTTGCGTGGGGTGCCCGACATCTTTGTATCTTGCCTTAGGTGTGTATGTGTGTGTTGTGTCGTGATGGCGTGTGTTTGTATCGGTTCACTCGAGTGTATGTGGTAATGGTTGCTTTGATAATATAAAGCGGGGAAACCCTTTTTTGATAAAAAGAAGGTGGTCACAGCGGTATTGAAATATTTGGAGGATGGATTCATGCCAGATGGTATAAACGACACAATCATAGTGCTTATTCCTAAGGAAAAGAACACACAAAGTTTGAGAGAGTTCAGACCGATTGCGGTCGTTTTGGTATGAGCCTATCTTGGAAACTCAAAGTGCCCTTATTCTAGAAAGGTTCCGGAGGGGATGATGACGGACATCGCAATCATCACCTTTGAGGGCATCCTCAAAATCCAGCAAAATAAGAATCCTCGGAACATTTATTGTGCTTACAAACCGGATCTCATCAAATGCGGTATTATTAGTTTTTTTCCTAGTTTACCCCTTAAGAGCATCTACAACTGGATTTTGCAAATCCGGCCCCTCAAATGCACACGGACGTGTCACGGACAGTGATCGGTCACGCCTCAAATTAGCCACTTTGCATCCATCTCTTCCATATTTCATCCCTTAGATCCATACAAAACATGCAAAAGAAATCCTTCACACTACATCTACATACTACCCTAACTACTTTTCGTCGTCGGAGATGTCCACGACGCCGGTGCCGGGCACCGGTTGGACGAGCGGGTAGGAGGGCTCCAGCTCATCCTCCTCCTGCTCGACCTCATCCATGTAGGCGAACATCTTCGCCTTCTCTGCGGCCTCTTGCGCTTCCATCTCCTGTTGGCGACGGCGTCTTGCCTCCGCAGCCGACTCCGACCAGAGGGAATCGAGGATGGTCTGCTGCTCCGCCTGCAGATCCCCGTCGCCAGCGTCCCCCACATCCTCCTCTGGCTCATCCCCCCCTCCCCCCTCCACAAAGTCCTCCTCCTCCGGATCCACTACATCCGGAGGTAGCCCGCGGCGATCTGTGCTTCGCACCTAGCCTGGATCTGCTCAAGGAGCTCGGGTCGGCACTCCGGCGTCAGAAATTGCTCGCTCCTTACCCGACGGTGTGGGGACATAGCTACTAGGCGGACGGGTGGAGTGAAAAGTGGCGGCGGCGGCGGACAGGAGGAGGAAAATGTGAATGAATGATAGGGTTTCGATGCCGCCGATCGATTTAAATAGCCGGTAAGACGCTACGCGACCCGCCGAAGGAGACGAGCTTCAGACCGTCGGGTCTCCGGCTGGGACCTCTTTGTCAGTCCAACGTGGCAAAGCGTGCCCAGGCGCGCCCGCGCGCCTCCATGTCCGCCCCATATTTGGGCTGAATATGGGAGGTGCCAGTCAGTCCGAGTGTTTGATACCCGTTTGAGGCATTCGCCTGAATCGAAAAAAACATGAGCAAACAGTGATCAAACGGTCCACCCGAATGTATGAGGGGGTTCGAGGCGCGGGATGCAGTAGATGACAACCGAGCAAAGAGGCGGTTCGCTCGTGTGAAGTGAAAACACGCGCCGTTCGCATGTTCGCCGGCTGGCGCGCTATATAAACACTTCGCGTTTATTTCGGTTGACCGCCCCTGACCAGAAAGATCACCACACCAGCCAGCCCAAATCCTCCTCCCCTCCCTCTCCTCGACCCCACATGTCAGTGACACAAAGGGGGGCTTATGATCAAAGGCACACGAACTGGGGGTTATCATCAATTATTCCCTGAATTTCTGATTGCCCGCCGACTCGCCGAACTCCCTCGTAAACCCTACCTCGCCGCGCGACGACGCCAGCGGTGGTGGCGGAGCGCCTGCCTCCGCCCCTTCCCCGCCTCCCCCACCCCGCCGCAGCCGGCCAAGGGCAAGGGGAAGATGAAGGGGGACGATCTGGTGAGCAGCGACGACCCCGCCGCTTCTCTCCTTCTCTTCCTCCGCCTCCTCCCCGCGGGGCGGGGGCGCCGCTCGTCCTCTCTCTTACGGGTGCGGTCGCGTGACTCGCGTCTCGTGCCTGTCGCAGTCGGAGGAGGACCTCGAGCTCAAGGCGCGTCTCGAGGATTGCGTGGAGCGGGCGCAGAGCCGCGACCCCCGCCTCCGGATAGGCGCCATCGACACCCTGAGGTAATGCCTGCTGCCGCTTCTGAACTTCCCCGGGATTCGGCCGCATCGCTGCCAAATTTGGATGGCCAGTTTAGGCGCGAATACCAGATTCCGTGTGATTCGGGCGCGAAAACCAAATTCGTTTCGGATGGAAGTGTTTGCTGCGCCGCTGCTCAGTTTCTAGTCTCCTGCTTAGTTCCGGTTCCGATTCAGGCGCGTCGCTGTCAATTTTGGATGGCCATATTTTAGGCGCGAACACCAGATTCCGCGTGATCCGTTTTCTCGATTCGCATGCAAATGTTTGTTGCGCCGCTGCTTAGTTTGTTGTCTCCTGCACCCTAATCTCTGGGTTGATTTCTCGATTTACCTACCGGTATGTACTGCAATCTGCAGGCGAGTTTATAGGAATGTTGCGCTCTGCGAAATTCACTGTCATGAAAAATTGGAGGGACAGGAATTCTGTTCAGGTTTTGGTTGTGCTGGTTTGCTTATTTTGCAAGGGTGCCAATTTTGGGCTCCCTCTGCTCTTAAGTTGGGACAGGATACTACGAAATCAAAATTCCTATTGCGTCATGCTTTCGCTGTTGAATTTCCCTATCAGGTTATGATGGTATATTTGATTTGATTTGTTCATTTCGAATGTTGCATCCTACTGCTGCTATTGACTGCAGCACTGCATTCCTCAAACAGCTAATATGCCATTTTTCTTCTCGGTACATAGTTAACTGTGGTTAATGCATAACAGGAAAGAGATTCGTGCGGCGACAAGCTCAATGACGTCTGTCCCGAAACCACTCAAATTCCTCCGTGCACACTACGGAACTCTCAAGGATTGTTTTCAGAGAATGCGGGATCCTGCACAGAAGGTATCAAGGGATTGTTAATGTCTCAGTTGAGCCAAGCTTAAGTACTATGGTGCTTATGATTTTCTGTTCTTATTGTGCAGAAACATATGGCTGACATTCTGTCAGTATTGGCCTTGACAGCGTCTGCTGAAGGAGAAAGGGTATGCAGAAATACCAAAGCACTGT